AAAATATAAAAAAATAAAATGCTTTACAAATAAAAAAGCATTTAATTTTCCTAGCTCCAAGTTGTGATAAAAATAGTGAATATTTACATTAAAATAAATGTATTACAGTTAAAGATGAGCCAGAAGCCAAACAGTACCAAATCCAATGAATAAGTAGATGAAGACATGTTGGTTTTTTTTTTTTTTTTTTTTGCGGTACCGGGGATCGAACTCACAACCTTGCGCTTGCCACGCAGGTGCTTATCCCACTGAGCTATATCCCCACCCCTGGTGTTCACATCTAAATACAATGTGCCCCTTTAACTTTACTATACATTTGGCTTAAAGAAACCTGAAATAGTCTATTAAAGTTGAAGGAAGTATTAGCTTTGCCCTGAGCTAAACTACTGCTTGTATAATCTGTACAATTATGTTAATTATATTTTATTAAAATTCCCAGGGGCTTCAGCTCTAAACTGAGCTCCAATATGTAGTTGTTATGAATTGTAATTAATATTGACTGTATGTGTGTGTTTTCCTTTACCTACAGTAACATTTCAAAGAGGAGATGGAGGACTCATGAGCAATGGAAGGTATGCTAAGAAGATTCTTCTTTATTGTTAGTTTTAATCAGGACTGAAGAAAGTCTGTAGTAAGCAGCTATTATTGTAATAAACGATCACTTACAAGTCAGAGAATTCTAGGAGGAATTAAATGGCTTACCACAAGGTTTAATGATCTATCTGTTGTGCACTTTAGAGGAATCAAGTCCAGATGTTTCATATCTCCCTGATGCCCCTGAAGAAATTAGTAGTAAATATCACAAGGAATGTGTTCATTTGTTAGCAGGATGTTTATTGCATTAATTAGACATTAGCAAATGAAGTTGCTGTTGTTTAAGACTCCTTATTGGCTCTCACTAAATTGCTGTGAGTGAACAATTACACATAATCGATCACAAAGTAAATGATTCATGGATGATGAATAGGCTGTAGATTGATAGGACTGGATTCCACAACTCTGGATACTCAATTGAAATTGATAAAAGCTGATAACAAACCCATATATCCTCATCTGTTTTCCCTTTGCCAATGTGGAGATTGTAATTAGGCTCTGGTAATAACTTCCAATCTCCCATTTAATCAATATTTCAGCAAAAAGAGATTAAGTCTAATGAGAGCTAGTGGATATAGCAAGAAATCAGTTGAATTTTCTTATTGCAGTTTCCATAGAAACACATGTTTCTCTTAGGGATTATACCAGAATGGGTCTACCAAAAAAAGTGCAATGATTATAGATGTTCTGTTTCTTGGTAAATATGCTAATAGAATGCAAAGAATTGGAATCCATGTTTTAGATTAAAGTAGGGAATTCTTTATTAAATATGATGTGAAGACAGTTTCCCTTGTAAGTTGTACTCATGTGCTGGGTCAAATGACAGTGGATCTTTCATTAGCTTAAAAAAAATCCCTTAATATACTCCTGATATTTTGCAATTGAGAGAACTAGGAAATGAGCTATTGATGGAACAGGATAAGTGCTGTTCATTAATTTTCCTCAAGTTCTTGGTCTCTAAAGCAAGAACAAGGGCTCATAACTAGGGTGACCGCCTAAAGAGGACAAATTCATGTGGTGGTGGCTGCAGGAATTGAGAATGGAACAGCCCAAATCCTAGAAATGGCTGATACCTATCAGCTATTCTGAGTAATTGTTCCCCTGAGGTGTCAATTTATCATACCTTGTTTTGGGTTCCAATTCCTACCACTTTCAAGGCAGACAACAGATTTCATTTGAATGTAGGCAGAATCCCAAGTAAGGACTTTGCTTCCGCCAACAGGCTTCATCTTCATGTAATCTTAATGAACTGCTAAAATTCCTTAATCTTTGAGAGCATACACATTTTAATTTGAAGTCAATTGAAATCTTCTTAAATAACTCAACCCTTTTTAGTGCATGATAGATATGTCAGTGTCTTACATTGTTCTCCATAGGCTGATACCTTTCTCATTTCTACTTTAGCCGTCCAGGTCTTCTAAATGCTGGTGATCCCAATTATCCATGGCTTGCTGATTCATGGCCAGCCACGAGTTTGCCAGTGAACAATAGTAATAGTGGTCCAAATGAAATTGGGAATTTTGGGCGTGGAGGTAAGTTGTATGTTTAAAAATAATGTTATTTGGGTTTTTTTCCTGTTTTCCTAGTCTTTTTAAAGTCATATTAATATTTTGTTTTACAGTCAAGGTAATAAAACACGCATACTAATAGTGTTACATATACATTTACTAAATATTTTAATATTAAACTAATATGTCTATATTGCCTTAAATGAAACTAGGCTCATAAGGAAGTTTTTGCTAATCCAGAAGATAAATATTCTGAATACTTTCAGATTACTAAAATCGAGACCTATGCTGCTAACGAGAGCCTATGATTTTGAGCCATGGTTTGTTTCTCGAAATCCCTTTCAGCATATATTTTATGAGTACCTCTAGTGTACCTGTATGTAAGGTAGTCAGTAAGCACATAATATCAGTGTAAAAAGAAATGATTGTTACTCTGTTGTAATATACCATGAGAAGAAAAGAGAGTTAAGCAAATAGGACAAAGTGTGCAGAAAGCACTTTCTGTAGTTCCACAATTGATAACTGGTAATACCAAGTGAAAGATAAAACAGTACCATGTAGACACTATGTATGTCACATACTACTGCATCCAAACTTTGATGCTAGAGGCCTCTCTAGGTTTTCATAAAGAGACAGAATTGGCTCTGCCATGACTACTACTTCTTCCCAAATCTACCTTTTCACCTAATCAGTTGCAAAAGGAAACTTCGAAGAAAAATGAGAATGGAGAAATCTTTGACTCCAACATTTCAATCAACAGTATATGTATGTTATCCCCTGTTAAAAGACTATGCAAATGGTTAATGAATTTGAACTACCCTGTCAGTACTCTACATGAGAATGTTACCTATCTGGTCTCAAAAAGTTATGTGATGGTAGTTTTTTTTTTTTTTTTTTTTTTAAGTTGATAACTGGAGGAGCATTAGGGATTAGTCAAAATAGTGAGAAAAGTATCTACAGAATAAATTACCATATTTAAAGATCAGAAATAAGATAGACAGTGATCTATTCAAGAAATAAACAGCAAGCTCGGGATTTTGCTCAGTGATTGAATGCTTACATGCCCACACCAGGCCTGAGTTTGATTTTCAGCACTCAGAAAGAAATGCAAAGGGAAGAGGAAGAGAGAAAGGATAGAAAGAAAGAAAGGAGAGAGGGAAGGGAGGAACAGAGGGAGAGTGGGCAGGCAAGAGACAAGAGAGAGAAGGATGGGAGTTTTCTAATGATAGGAATAAAAACTACAAAGCAGTAGGGGTATTAAAAACAATGCACAAAGAGACATAGCAGAAGATATGCTAAGTCACACAAATAGTATAAACTATTCAAAGGGTAGTATGAAGCCATTGATGGTTTAAAAGAGGGAAATGCTAGGGTCTAGGCACTTTAAAAGTTATACAGCCTGCTTCTAGGTATACAGTGAAATAAGAGTAAAAGATTGCTGTGGTTAATGAGATTTCTGTAAATCAAAGAAAATTTGGATGAGTACCCTAGAAGATTTCTGCATTTCTCGACTTAACTCATGGAACCCACGACTGCACTAATCTAGTCTGAATTGTACTAAAAGTCTAGAAGGTGAATTTCGGAGGCATAAGTATATGACCATATTCACTTAGATGAAAGATCATGCATACTGGTATTTTTTTTCTTTGTGAATGGATTATCAATGTGTTTGAATATAATTAAAAAACTCTTTCAAATTATAAAGTGATAAAGTCATTCACAAGCCTGTTTCCTGTCAATATTACCTTTAAGAAGATGGACTCCTTCCCTTTATCTAAATAGAATACAGAAAATAGGTATGTAATGAGAATTAAGTGAGTGAAAAAATATATGTATATATGCAGGTTTCACACAAACCTTAGTACATAATTAGCACCAAGTAGCATCACTAGAAAGTGAGGGAAGAGAAAGCATGTTGTATGGCTCCTGGCTTCCTCTGCGTAAGCAAATGCAACCCTTAGGGTGCCCGTTTGCCCAGGCACTGCACGAGTAGCTGCCTTCTCTAGGTGACCAGATTCGGAAACTGTATGTCATCACTGTGCCTTGGGAGTTTCCTGGCCAAGCACCTCCTCACAGGGAAAGCCGAACATCCTTCCTCCCATGATACAGCCTGACTTTATCTAAAGAAATTCGCTTCCCAAAGCTTTAATCAAATCAAGGAATAACTGCCTCTTTTACTTACCCTGTATGCATTAGATCGCTAAAACATTCTATCTTTTATCATGTAATAAATGCCTACCGATGAAGAAAAAGTTTCATTTTTCACATGCTTGCTGACAACATTAACATCTGAGATTTTTGGTCTAATTTAAGTAAAGGGGACATACATGTGCAGATTTTCAGGATTTTCTTCCATTTCTGCCTCATTTATATGCAATGAGACATTTCACAGGTAAAGAGCAAGGCCAGCACAGTTCTTCACAGTACATTTATCATGAGGCAGTTGTGATTGTACATAGCATATCCTAATTCATTTTTTGTCCATTTCCCCTCCCATCCCTCCCTATTCCAGCCCTATTCCTCTTATCATTTGCTAAAGTGCAATTTGCATTTTTTTTCAATTGTCTCTTTTTTATCTTTTTTCCTTTACTTCCCTCCCCTCCAGTTCTTTTCCGTTTGAGAACGATCTCCCTATTTCCTGTTATCCATCTTTTGTTTTGGTCTTTAATTATATTTTAGGTTTCTCATGTAAGAGAAACTCTGTGATATTGAAGCTTGTGTCTGATTTATTTCACTTAACATTATGGTCTCAAAGTACATCCATTTTCCTAAAAATGCCTCAAGTTTGTCCTTCTTTATGGCAAAGTAGTACTCCATTGTGTATAAATATCACCTTTTCTTTATCCATTTATGTGTTGGTGGACATATAGACTGATTGCAAGATTTTACTGTTATTATAAATTGAGCTCCTAAAATCACAGATGTGCTTGTATCACTGTAATATAAAGACTTAAAGTTTTTTGGGAAGATCTCTAGAATAATACTACCTGGGAAGAATGGAATTTCAATTTTTAGTTGTTTGAGTACTCACCATACTGATCCCCATGGTGGATGTACTAGTTTATTTTCCTACCAATAACTTGGAAGGGTTCCTTTTTCCCACAGCCTCACCAGCATTTGTTATTTGATTTCTTGATGACAGCCATTCTTTCTAGAGTAAGATGATATCTCAATGATGTTTTAAATTTGTATTTCTCTAATGTCTAGCAATGTTAACATTTTTTCATGCATTTATTCATCATCTGTACTTCTTCTGAGAAGTATCTATTCTGCTTGTCCATTTTTTGATTGGGTCTTTTATTTGGGGAGACTAAGGTTTTTAGTTCTTTTATATTCTACATATCAGTCTTCCATTTGAGGAATTGCAGGCAACATTTTTCCTATTCTGTAGGTTGTCTCTTAACTCTGTTGGTTGTTACCTTTGATGTGTAGAAGCTTTTAAATTTAATACGAGCCCATTTGTTGACTGTTGCTCTTATTTAAGACCAAGACAATTTTGCCTGGTTGACTGTATCTCTCTTTACTGTGACGATTATTTTAAACATTTACTGTACTCCAGAAATAAGGAAGGAGTTTTGCTACTTTTGAATTCATGATCTTTATATTATTGTAAATTACCATATTTGTATTTAAATGTCAAGAAAGTTAGGTTTATAAAGATGAACGATTTGAGATCTAGACAGACCATGCAGTTCTTATGGATTTTAAAGCCTTCCTTAATTCTTTTATCTACACTGGAGACCAAAATTGGATTGCTATGCATGACAGTGTAACCATATTCACATAGAAGAGTAATCATTAGTAGTGACATTTTCTTAATAACAATGAAATATCAATACATGTTTGAATATAGTGAAAATTGTGGAATAATTTACTAATCATCAAATAATTCTGGTTTTGTTAATACAAATTACAAAATACTCATTTAATAATTTCATCATATGTTTACTCTCCTTACAACACTGGGTGAATGAGAAATTACGGAAATAAAGATGTATATCACATTGGCACCTTCCTCAAGTAACTTAGGATGCAGTGAAGAAGACAATTATTTATAGAAATGTTTTGCCAGGCAATAAATAAACAAATCCATGAGTACTAATAGAGATAACATGCTCAAAAGTTGCATCACTAATTGAAACTGGAGTGAACAATTTCCATACCTAATAGGTCTCCACCACAAATGTAACAAGCATAGGTCAGACAACCTGAAGCGTTAGTGTTGGATGGGTGGGGACTGTAAGAAGTGCAAGCACATATTCTGATCCAGCTTGTTGGGCGAACACTGGCATGGAGTTCCAAGTCATTTGATACATAGGAGTTTCCTTCATACATGGAAATTCATGTACAATCTACTACTTCATTGTTGGGATATAATTCATTTGTGAAAATGTGGGAATGATCAAATAGTATTTGAAGAAATATACAGCCCCCAAATCAATATGGAAGTAATTAGACTGGAAGGCTGATATCATCTGAGAGGGAGGGAGGGAGAGAGAGAGAGAGAGAGAGAGAGAGAGAGAGAGAGAAAGAGAGCATAGTTTTAGTGTAAAATTATGTAGCAATGGATACTTAGACTACTTTTTTATCTATTTTTTTTAATCATTTGAGCACCAAATAATGCCAATCACCTGCAGCTGAATTGGCATACAGTCCAATCTAAAGTTTTGGAGAACCACAAAATATTTTACATTATGTGAAACTGAAGCCGATGGTGGACAAACATTTCTACTGAATTAATAAGTATCAGAAGAAAGGTAGAGGGGACAGAAGCAAAACTCTGAAAACTTAAAGAGAAGCATCCATTTTTAAGAACTTTAATACATTATTAAAATATATTTTTGAGAATACAATAAAATATGCATGTTCAATATCAATTTTGCAACTAGTATACAACTAAAAACAAAGAGTCAGAAGATATTTGTGAAATTCTGAAATATGAAAACAATTTTACTTGCTGTCTTAGTTAGTTTCTCATTGCTAGGACAAAATAAGCAAAGGCTTACTTTGGCTCACAGTTTGTGGAGGCTTCATTCCATAGTCTGCAGCTTCAAGGCATGGTGGCATGGCAGAGGAGAAAGAACTCATGGGAAGGCAAGCAGAAATCAGCGAGACTCCCTCTTTCATTCCCTTTTTATTCCATCCAGGCTGCAAGCGTATTGGTGATGCCACCCACAGCCAGGATGGGTCTTCCCTCTTCAGTAAATCCATTAGCCACACGCAGAATGATCCTAAGCCAATCAGTGGACCAATCCAGTATGATATATTCATAATCCAGTCGCTTCCAAATGCCGAGCATATGAGTACATGAGACTTTAGAAGGACATCTAGATATAAACCATAACCCAAGCCAATACAGCCTACTGAAATGTTACAAATTTGGATATGTTTACCCCACTGATATGCATTTAAAATATTTACATCAATAAAAGTACATATCCACTTGCAGAATGAGTTGGAAACTTCAAAACCTCCAGGGAGATCAAAGTTATAGAGTATGAAATATAAATCCCTTATTACTGTTCCTAAAGAAGACTATTTTTATCTTTGTGAAATGCAGAAGCAAAACTTAATATTTCTCTAAGAATCTTGTTTCAAATGTGATTGGCTATCACTGAACCTGACAGTTGCAAAACAGTTGAAAATTTCCTATAATGAAGAGATCAAGTGATTTGATGGCCTTGAGTCCTGTGAAGTGACTTTTTAGAGCACATATTATTAAGGAAGTTACCATAATTGAATTTATTTTAATGCTACATGATTAAAACTAGTGTTAATGATTTCTCTTTTCTATTCATTTAATATTGTTCTTCTGAAAAATGGAAAATAATTGCTCAGGAGAGAGGCGGCAGATCTGAATTATAAAGTGTCATGTAAAGATAATTTAGCATACCAAAATGATAAATGGATTGGTTGATATTCACTGTTGTTCCTGAAGTTTAATTTCGCTCTTGCTGTCTTACAACATGAAACTATAATTCTGCACTTCTAAGACTTGATAGCATAAGTTAAACACTCTTATCACTGAGATTGCTTTTCTATAGTTAAATCCTGCTGTATTGTGAAAATGACTTACTCATGAAAATTTTCCTTTGTTATCCAAGTAAAAAAAACACACCTTCTACCATAAATTATTCTCCATTTCTAATGCTATGAAATTAAATCCAGTACTTCATAGTCAGGATACTATAATTTTGTAAAATTTCATGACTAGTCAGCAGTTGTATTCATATGTCCTTTATATTAAAGTGGGAAGAGATGTTTTCATCTATGATTTGTAGACTCCCTCTTATCCTTTTCACAGTGTTTCTGTAAAGCACTAATATTTTCCTTGGTTTTAAAGCAGTGTGAACAACTAAAAGCATTTTTCAATAGTGAAATATCCCAAACTCCTCATTCATGGTTGAAGAAAACAGGGGAAGGGATGTGTTAAGCAGTGAGACGTGAAGGACAAGCAGTAGGCCTGCCTGTCACTGAGGTTGATAGCTTAGCTAAAGTTGTATATCATCTACCCTTCATTGGCTCATGAAGCCCATCTCAGCTGAAATGCAAACGTGTGGTATGACACATTTATTTTTCATCTTCAATCCTGATAGTTTTGGGCTTCCTGTGCATCATTAAATTGTTTCATTTCCCTATGTTCACCACAGATGTGCTGCCACCGGTTCCAGGCCAAGGGGATAAAACAGCAACGATGCTCTCAGATGGAGCCATTTATAGTAGCATTGACTTCACAACCAAAACCACTTACAACAGTTCCAGCCAAATAACACAGGCCACCCCATATGCCACGACGCAGATCCTGCATTCCAGTAGCATCCATGAATTGGCAGTTGATCTGCCTGATCCACAGTGGAAAAGCTCAATTCAGCAAAAAACAGATCTGATGGGATTTGGTTATTCTCTACCTGATCAGAACAAAGGTAACAATGGTAAGTCTGGTTCTTGTGTCTTGAGAAATTAATTTCATGTCATTTGTGCATGAGATAGAAATTAGCATTTGTTGTTCAATTTAGTGATTCATTACCAGGTTTAATTCCTAAACTAAAAATATTTACCAGCATGTATGTATTCAGTATCTCAAACAATCCCTGTCACCACCACCACCGCCTCCGCCACCACCACCACAGATCAACACCAATCAGTTCCATCCTTCTAGCCCTTTTCAGTATAGTGATCAGCAATCCATCTCTGCTTCCATTAGGACAGGATAAATAAAACATTTTTCACTGTCCCACAACATCTGCTTCTGAGTTGCTAACTGCATGTTCTGCATGGGCTTGTGCTGTGAACTAATCACATGATGCCACTATGACCTCTGCCCTTTAACCCTTAGCCTTACTTTACATCCCTGACTACCGATTGGCTGAGGGATTGTCTAATAGAATGCCACACAACCAGTCACAGGATTTCAGCACCACCAGCTCTCACAACAGCTCAGAAAGGAGTGGCAGTCTATCAGGTTGGTCTTCTCACAGTAAGGAGAAATATTGTTTTGTCACCAGCATATGACCTGTGTTCCTAATAGCCAGTGAAGAAATACTGAGTCACAGCCCACCATCAAGAATTTATCTTTCAAATGACAGTAACATTCGATTCTAATGAAATCCAGCTTTGGTGGGGGGAAGAGGAGGAATAAAAATCACACTCATATTTTATATGAAACCTATATTGTCATGCATTTAAAGAATAACTCCATTTTGCTAAATGCTATTTATTAAAAAACAGATAATTTTGCTATTTCTTAGCTAAGGGACTAAATTAACTTTATAATAAAAAGGTTGTGCACAAAAGTCAATTCCATGTCATCGATACCCAAAGATAACCACAACTAAAACAAAAATGATTTTGAGGACTCTTATTGGGACTCCATTGAAGTAACTTCCTATTTTCAGAAAGGCTTTACAAAATACACATTGTGAGCTAATGAATCAAACTATACTGGGGTAAATGAATGCCAGCATGAGAGGTTATTATTAATATTTAATTTTCAGGAAGCAGAAATATAATCTTTCATATGATAGTTATTTTGTGCTCTAAATTTTAAAATGTATTTCACAATTAGCAGCTAAACTGACAATGTATAAAGTAGGTAGTATATAGCACACGAGGGAAAAATATCTATTAGACAGAAATATATTACTATTATAATTAGTATCAGGAATATACACATTTTGTTATCTAAAAATAATATTTACATGGCATGGTTGATTATCTGTGTATTTCTAATTGATTCCATGACACTACTGCTTAATATGTTCAGATTAACTACATGCTATTTGTTTGCTTGGAGTTTTTGCTTTTTTAAAAAAATTACATATTAATGATAAGAGATTCCCATGTTCTGTAACATTTCTCAGGCCACCAGTCATCAAGGCCCTAAAGAGTTAAGTTTTCTACATCATTAGGGTTACATTTACTAAATTACTTTTCCTCAGGAGATAGCAGCCTCTCAGACTGAAAATGTTAATGCTCTCTCTTCCCTGTAAATCGAGTGATTTGCTCTTCTTGTCTATTGGTACGACTTGATACATTATAGAATTCAGAAATTTTTCAACATCTGTTATGAATTTAAATGGGCTTAATGATATAGAAAAACTTTTTGAATGACCTTATCTGTCATTTATGCTATCATGTACTTATAATTAGTCCCACAATTATTCTGAATAATTAAAAAGTAATTTTTGTGAAGCTTCATTTTTTATTTTATTAAAGATACATAAAAATCAAGCAATATATTAAATGAAATCTATATTATTGTAGGCCTTGGATTCCATAAGATCTGTGAAGCTTTCTAAATATTCTATATACGTTGATTATTGCTGAATTTTAACTTATCTTTTGAATAATTGTAAGCAGAACATGATTTACAATAGTGCTTGCTAGGCCTTTTTTGTATCCATTAATCTCTTGAATGACATTTATATATATATATATATATATATGAATTATATTAACTACATTTACATTTGAATGCAAAATTACTTAAATTCGTGGTAGCATTTTTTGATAGGTGAAATTGGAGTGATTATTCCTGTTTTTAGTTTAGTGTAATTGAGTTTAATATTACAGTTTTTATGAATTCTTATATTTATAGGTATGTTTCCTAAGCCTCAAATTTAAGATCAAGCTACCCTATGGCTAAGTAATCAAGACATATTAAAGGATTTTCTTAATTTGCATATAGTGATGCAAGCAATTTAAAATAATCACAGTCAATAAGAATATTAGATATTTCTCAGTTATTTGAGGGAACTTCTTTGAAACACATAATTTAATACAATATATTCAGATAGTGTTTATTCAGAGTACTTCTGTTAAAAAATTCAAGCATTAAAAGTCTCAGATGCTGCAAAATAGTATCTGAAATTATATATATATGACAGAATTGGTAATAATAAATAAATCTTTCAATACATTAATATCTTTTTTAAAAATTAATTACATATTAAATTTTAAAATGAATTGATCTCATAATTTTCTTTGCATAAAAGTCATTTACTAGGCATAAAAATCAAACTGTTTACATTTTGATTTTAAGACATAGGGGTCAAATATGTATGCCAGACATTAAAGTATGTTTCCTTGGAACACGATGCAGGTGGTACTTTTCTTAAAATAGTTGAAGATTCTTTGGTTGTAAAGTAATAAGAGACTGTGTTCACTTCACTAAAGGTCCAGATTTCAGAAAAAAAATGCGTAATTCTTTTTGATCATGGCATATGCTCACCACCATGCTAGTAGCCTACCATTTACATCACTGCTAAGAGAAAACAACCTTGATCATTAGTAGTCCTGACTTGACTTTTTAAAATGAGATAATAAATTACCCCAAAAGAGAGGAAAATGGAAAGCCCTTGGAGATCAACAATTTTAAATCTATTGTTTGTGAGAGTAGGTAAGGAATACATTTCTTGAATTTAAGCAAGGGCTTCAAAGATTTTATTCTCTGGAACTAGTTCCTTAAAAAGCTACTGAATAGTATTGTAAATCTGCATTTTCTTTTTTATGTGCTCATGAACAAATAACACTCAGTATCTTCACCTAGCAAATAACATATAAGAACTTCCTTGTTTCTATGAGAGTTCTGGAGGTAATCAGGTAACACTTCTAAAAGAGCTGTGGAAGGAGAAAAGGGTTGTACTCATCCAAACAGAAAGCATAATGGAGGTACATCAACAGGGAAGTCTAGTAAGATGAGTAGTTCAACCTGAGCCTCTTTCAGCGCTCAAAATGTAGTTCTGATCCTACAAAAAAATATATGGTCCTTAGTCTTTGCTTATGATTTTGGTGAGTTAAGGAAATCAAGGACTAAGCTTCATTTACTTTACAAATAATTGTAAAGTTGTTATTCAAACTATTACTCCATACTTCTTGGGCCTGGAGAAGTTGGAGTAAAGAACAACTTTAGAAAATAAAAATATGTCCAGGCATGGAATTATATGCCTGTAATCCCGGCAATTGCAATGTTGAGGCAGAAGAATTGCTGCAAGTTTAGGGCTAGCCAGGGCTACACAGTGAGTTCAACTTTAGCCTCAACTACAAAACAAGAAACTGTTAAAAAAAAAAAAAAAAAAAAACATGACAAGTACATGCACCTACAGTCACAGCACTTAGAAGGCGGAGGCAGCAGTATCACTGTGAGTTTGAGGCTAGCCTGGGTTATATAAGTTAGTTCAAGGACCACCTGCACTACATAATGAGACCCTATCTCAAAAAAATTCAAAAAGAGAGAAAGAAAATATAAGCTTGATTTATTAGAAAAGATAGGAAAAAACAACAACTGGTATTTATTAAGGCTTTTGTATGTTCTGAATACTTCATATGCATTGTCTTTTAAACAACCCTAAAGATACTTCAGAGAAGTAACTTTATATCTCTATTACATGTGTGGAAACTAAGCAATATGTATTTAGTAACTTCTCAAGTAAGTAAGGAGCTAGTCTTCAAATCCAAAATTCAAGCTCTTCTCTAGAAATAAGGTACCTGCCCTCCTTCATATCGAAAATAAGGAGGGAAGGAAAGGGGAAAACATTTGTTTGAGGGATAGTCATACATGTGCATGTTATGTGGAAAACATGCCCAACTCCATAATTGGCAGTAGTGTGTTCATCTAGTTTACTAGTTTTTAGCACTTTCTGGCATATTATAAAATTGTGTAAATTAACTTAGTAATTGGTAGAACAACAAAGATGGGGAGACATCTTTCACATCTACATGACTAAAGGGCCTTGCTACAAACATTTTATGCTCCAACTTTTAGTTCCGGGAAGGTGATATGTAAGAGGTCAATACTACCTTTTCACTTACAGTTATACACCATAGTGAGAGTGATGGAAGTTACTTAGGAACCCCCAAAATATTCTTTGACATTTTACCCAAGAAGTAATCATTCCTCTATCTGACTGAACACATTTCTTCATGAAGAAGCTTTGTTTATTTAATCTTAGAAGAAGAAAATTACAGCAGTATGGAAGGATAAATTTTATTTTTATATTTCATTAAGCTTCATGTAATCCAAGACATAGCTCATACACTGCGGACTTACTTTCTGCTCATATTTGTGCATGAGTTCATCCGTATTACAGATAGTGCTGTAACTGATTATTCTGCTTCCATTAATTTCCCTCCTTCTGGAATTTATGAAATGTTATGCTTAAAGCTGCGGGGAACTGTTCTCACTATATGCAAAAATAATCGTACCATTTATTAGTCAAAAAGCCTGTGAAACGTATCGTTGTGAGAGATTTGCGGGTATTCTCTAGATTGTAGTCGATTGATTTTTATCCATGACTTTTGAGAAAAAAATGTTACTCTCCTGGATTAATTAAATGGAGTAAATTCTAATGGAAAACTTTAGCCTGTATCTTTAGAAACTGTATTTTCCACTGAGGGAGATTATGCAAAAGAGTATTATAAATGCACTGAAATCTGACATTTAAAAGAATTTTTTATGGACCACTACTTCATCTAACAGTGCAAACATGGAGGCAGCAGACATAAGTAAATCAATAGATGTGCTTTTGATAGAACATCCATGTTTTTAGTTTATTCAACTCTGCAGTTAATGCACTGGGACAGAGACAGTATCAGCCTGAATGATTTCTAAAAGTGTTTTTCTGATTATATTATTTCATTGTTTATAGCTTTTACCATTTCTAACATGCTGATTTCTGGTGTTTTGAAAACATAAATGCATCTTTCCATTTGACATTCTCTGTTTCTTCTGATATGCAGCAGCTCTGAATTAATGTATTATTATTTTCAGGTGGGAAAGGTGGAAAAAAGAAAAAAAATAAAAATTCTTCCAAACCGCAGAAAAACAATGGATCGACCTGGGCCAATGTTCCTCTACCTCCTCCCCCAGTCCAGCCCCTTCCGGGTACAGAGCTGGAACACTATGCCGTGGAAGAGCAAGAAAATGGGTAAAAATCTTTCAGATACGTATAAAAGAGCCAAGGCTGCATGCCATTCTCTGCTGTTCACTTTGCCCTGGGTTCTCTTATTGTTTCCTTACCTCCTTCCTACCCTCGTCATTGCATACACCCCCCTCTCCTGTTTGCACTGTCCATATATTTTTATCTGGTAAGTACAAAACAGCATATATTGAGGTCTGAGAATCCTTGGCCCTCAAGTGCCTTAGATTGTCTGCAATCATGATAATGCAGCCTCCATTTATAATATTGCTTGTTAGTTTGAAGGCAGGTACCCACCGCTCTGTGAACTAAAGAGCCACTCCTGAGAAGGGCTGAAAGAGGAATTAAAATAACCTTCTTCATCATCCCATGCAGTTCTCTAATGACTTGATGTCTGCCCATAGCAGGGCGCCGTGGTAGAGTGCCATCACAATGGGATAATTGTAGGGACCTGGCTAGTGGGTAGAACTTTAATCATAAGCTCCGATGGGAACTTAGGGGAAAGAACAATAAAGGAGATGCAGGCCAACAGATGCTCTGTAACAAAACCTTTTTAAGGTGGGAAATTTCCTTTGACGGCCTTTAAACATGACCAGTTGCCTTATTCTTTCTCAGACATGTCACAAGCGTTACTTTTCTCTGTTAACTTGTGTTAATTGATTTTAAACACAAAGGCACATGTAATTTTTCTTTTATTCCATAGGCAAGCAAGTCAAAAAGCAACATTCTCAGTCTCTTTTTTATATTTTAGTAATTCATACTATGTCTTCCTCAAAATTTGTAGGTCGCTGTTTATTTTGACTAGGCCTTTCTGGAGCTTAAGAATATAGAAAATGGGCGGCTTTTCTTTTTACACATTTTCTTCATTTAGGAATATTTAGATATAAAAACATCTCATGATATTTAAATAGTGGTTTTGTGTTTTATTGTGTTTTAAATAAATATCACATGTACATGCTTACAATTTTTTCCTCTTTATTCTTTGCATTTTACATAACTACTACATTTGGGGTCTCCGGATTACTTTTCTAACTCAATGCTTATAACATTTTCTTCCTTCAAAAATATAGCATCTGCTTGTTTTCCTTTACATATACACACAGATGTGTATACACACACATACAAATGTGTGTATATGTATGTATCTATATATGTGTGCACATGTACTTACACATATAGACATATGTTTTCTGTTATGTTTTTCTCTCCTTCTAGAAGACTTCATTTATTCTTCCTAGGATTTTAATGCCCATATTTATGAACATCATTATTGTTTTACTTTTTGAAAAATATTTGCATTTGAAATAGGCAACTAAGAATACACTCTCTCATCTTGACTTTAAAAAGATAAAATTCTGTATGAAACATATCAGTATCATGTGAATCTGAGTAAAGAAAATGCAGAGAAGTGTATTCCACCAAAAAAAATTAGGTCCTAACAACCTATATTTTAAAGAGTGTAAACAGAAAATGAAAATAATGGTACTTGTAGAATGGATGGAAAGAAAAGGAACAGTATTGGTACCTTATAGGCTCAAAATCTTGAACTCAAAATACTTGAAAACTGTGAATAATTTTGAATACTTTCCTTTTTTTTCCATTGAGTCAAATTTTTAAAACATATACAATATAATAATATCTATTATCCATGGAAACTAATCTATGTCAAGCATAGGTTAAGCTTATCACTTGATTGTCTTATCAAACAGGAAAATTGGAAACGCTTGTGTGATGATTTTTAATCCTTTGATACATTGTTTTCATAATTTTAAGAGATGAATCAAAAGTATTTGTACATATTTAGATGTGGGTAAATTATTTTAATATTCAAAGTGCATAGTATTTAATATTTTAAATATCCACTTGATATTTTAAAACATAAAAATATATTTAAAATACATACATGTGTATATGTTGAAATTTACTATTGGAATTGAATATTCAATATCTTTATGGAATAATTTTAGAGTTCTTATTTATTGTTGAGTGTTTATTTTCCTTAACAAACTAGTATTTACAGAAGTGATTACTATGTTTTTATCCAAACAATGGTTAGATTGTATGGAGTCAGTAATGATGGCACAAAATTTAATGTCCTCATTCATCAAGTTAATTTTTTCAGAGCCTAAATTTTGAAAGTTTGTGTCTCAGTCATTTATGATTGATAAAATGATGTTTATGATTAAAGTTCTACCCACTAGCCAGGTCCCTACAATTATCCCATTGTGATGGCACTCTACCACAATAATCATTATGATAAATATTTATGATAAAAACACATTTAAGTCAAAATGATAAGAGCAAAGTAAAAGTAGTAGATCTGGTGTGATATCACTTTTTCATGTATTCTTTATACTTTTCTGCTCTCTACTATGTGAACCTTATGATACTGGTGAGGAAATATTATTCAACACAGATTATACTGTGTAATTTACTGAATATTCCACAGAAGAGGCCTGTGCATTTTTTGTATGTTTTAATTTGAAACCCTTATAATTCAGTCTTAATGGTTTCTTTTTT